AACTTAATTGCTTTAAAAATATAATAATTGTTGAAATGTACTGTTTTTTTTCCGTTTCATTTATTTACAATAAAGACATATTACATATATAAATATTGTCCGGAGCAAGAAGAAGACATTGTCTTATCATTATGCCCGGCGTACATATTGTCCGTATTTTATAAGCAAAAAATAAAACATATACAAAATGTTAAAAATATATAGAGTAAAATAGGGTCAAATGGAGTAGTTAAGAATTTTAGTTATTAATTTTTTACGTAAAAAAGATTTTTCCTTTTTTTTTTTTTAGTTGTAGAGAATATTGAGCTGTATTTAAATATATGAAAATTTAAAAAAATTTTGTAAAGTTTTTATGAAACTTTTATTGATTTAAAAAAAAATTATTACACTGAATTTCGGGGAGAATGAAATACGCAAATATAAGTGTAATTAAAGTAACACTTTATTAAAAAAACAAAAAGCAATCAATAATAACAATTAAAAAAACAATCAATAAAAACAATATAAAAAATCAATCAAATAAAATAAGCTTTTTTATTCTTGTGATGATGTTAAGTCGTTTAGAGGTACTAGAGGTTGAGTTGAGTTTTCACTTGTGCAGCACTTTTTGGTGCAATAAAACTCAGCGTCTTTTACGTATCGTTATGGCAGGGTTGGACTAGCTCTTTGTGGCGGCCCGGGGGATAATATTTCTAGCGGCTCTCTATAAAATCTTAAAAAAAAATCACATAATATATAAATAATCCCGACGGGCATTTGTTTTTAAAAGTTACGTTCAAAATGTTTTTTAAATGTCTTTTAAACGTTTTTTGCTTAAGAATGTTTAGAAGACGTTTAAAAGATATTAAAATACATTTAGAACGTAACTTTTAAAAACAAATGCCCGTCGGGATGTGTTATTTTACTCTTAGGTACCTCAATTAACAATAGGTTATTTTAATTTATAAGTTTATTTATTACCATATTAAAAGTACATAATTTAAAAATCAAAATATTAACTCATCACTTTAAATTATACTATCAAAGAATTTATATTATTGGCCCATTGTCTAGAATTTATATTAGTAGCCCATTATAATAGTGGCCCATTAGACTTATATTAGTGGCCCATTGTAAGTAAGATATCAGCGGCCCACCGAGGCTTCCCCCGGCATCCCGGTGGACAAGTCCAGCCCTGCGCTTTGGTGTTTATGTTTGACATAGCCAAACCTTGCAATTTGAATTTTCACACTAGCACCATTCCATATTTTGACTTGCAGAAGTTTCGCCTAAAACTTTTCGGCACTTTTTACACTTGATTTGGTTTGCTGCTAATATTTTCGTTGGACTTGTTGCTTAGTTTATTTGCTGTTCTTCATTAAAGCTTGCGTTGTTTTTTAGATTGCTTTGCTGCTTTTTTGCTCTCAGCATCTTTCAATCTTTCAAGTATTTCAGGTTTGTTGAGACACTCCCCTTCGAATCTTGGCACATCTACATTTTTTCATTTTTGTGTGTCAACATGTTGGATACAAAACATTTGTTGCAAAGCTGCTGCAAGTGATTGGGCTGATTGCAGTTGTTTTGCAACCTCTTTTTAAATTTCCTTTTGAATAGCCGGAGTTAATATTGAACGTTGTTTGAAGACAAGGTGACCGCAACAAGAGAATAACTAACGTATTTCATTCATTTATTAGTACCATTTTATAAAAGCAGTAATTAAAAGTCATTTAAATTCAGTTAGAAAAATTCATTCATTGAAATTTATACAAAATATTTATAGTTGATTTATTGGTCACTTGAGACCTAATAAAAAAAAGCCGCTCTTAAGAAATAAGCTATTGCTTCGTATTTATTTATTTATTAGCGTATTTCATTCAAACCCGTTTCCGTTTTTAACTTAACTTAACTTTTTTTCCTTTGCAGCTAATATAATTTTGAAAAAAGATTCTTGATCAGCGTAAAAAGTTGTACCAGTAAGCATTTTAAGTTCAACGATATCGAATTTAATTTCCGAGACTTTTAAGTTTCTTTTTCAAACAAATAAAAAAAATCTTATTACGCATTCAAAAACTTATAGATTTATAACAAAAAAATTTTTATTAAAAATAAAATTTTATACAATCTTACTCAGAAAAATATTCTCTACAATATAATCAATAAATATTTTTATTTTTATTTAACTATTAATTATAATTAATTAATAGTTAATTAAGAGCGAAAGAATAAACATTGTCATAACTATTTCATTCTACCCGCTATTTCATTTTACCTTGTTTTACTCTAACTTTTGTCAAATCATAAAATGACTTTTATATAGATTTAAAAATAGAAATAAAAAAAGTTTTGTATACTCATACAAATATATTTGATACATATTTAAAAAATATATATATTGAGTGCTAATGAAAACGTTTTTTCTATTTTAATTAAAAAAAATTTTTAAAGGGTGATTTTAAAATTTAAAGTCATTTTTTAAAAAAATATTTAAAGTCTTTTGTATTGAAATCTAATTGAAGTAAGAAGTACTGTTACGCAATTAAGAAGTACTGTTACGCAATTTAGAAGTACTGTTACGCAATTAAGAAGTACTGTTACGCAAATTCAATTAAATGAAATATCACTTGTATAAAAAGGCTTAATTGTAAAACTTGTGATTCAAATGATCGCCAGAATTAATGGTCAGAGCAGTTGAGGACGTTCGAAATAAGTTCTTAGTGAATGGAGAGCAGCCAAAATATACGAAGTTAACAGGTAGTTCGTAGCTTTGATCGTAAGAAACTTGTGATGCTTATTCCAAAAGATATATATTTAATAGGATACGTTTAGCTGCAATGAAATATTTTCAATTATTGAAAAAGTTTTTTGCATTTTAAGTACTTTGATGTTGAGTATTTTGTATTTTAAATACTTTTGCTTGATAATATTTTGAATTCGTATAAATACCTTTTTTACAAAATACTAAGTATAGTGAACGCTCTACAAAAGCAACTCATTTAAACCGATTTCAATAAAAAGTTTCTTATTGGGAAAAGTTTCTTATTGGCTTTCTTATAGGGAAAAAAGGAGTATAAAGCTTAGCTGCAATGAAATAATGAAATAAAAATATTTACCATTATTTCTTTCACTAGCTAAACTTAAAGTTTAGTTAGTAAAAGAAATAAGTAAAATATTTAAAAAATAAAGTTTTAATAAATCTTTGGTTTAGTACAGGACTTATTGCCAAAACAAACAAAAACAATTATATATTTATTCATGATAACTTTTTCTCTTATTTTTAGTAATAAAAGAACCTCATTGCAAGACATCCAAGTAGCTGTTTGCGATAGCGTTGTTTTAGTGATTTTATCACATTTTGATTTAGTGGTTTTTAGTGGCAATAATGGTGTGTTTTTATTATGTGTTATTAGGGGGGCAAAACATAACCTTAAAATTCGGGTTATCATTAAAATTATTCTCAGACCCATGGCAAGTTGCACTATCTACTAAGAGAAGGGCTTTTGCGAGAAGGTTTTTAGTTTCCAAGTGTTGAGTTACTGAAGGTATGAATATATCATTATAGTTATTAAAAAGTTTGTCAAGCATTTTTTAGATGATTTGTAATTTACTGACATCTTCATATTTTTGAAGCAACAAAGAGATTTTGATTTCCCTCTCATCATCAAATCTAATTTATGTATACCTGTAGCGTTTACGCATGGCATAATTTATGTATACCTGTAGCATTTACGCATGGCATAATTTTTTGTAATTTAAGGATATGTTTTTGGGAACATCTGGTTTTACTTCTGAATTAGCCTAAACTTAACTTAAATATTTAGCTTTAAAAAAATAAAATATGCAGAACAGTTGAACTAAAAAAAGTTGCTTGTATAGAAACTGCTTATAAAGAATGTTGCTTATAAAGAGGTTGGTTATATAGAGCTTTCACTGTATTTTGTTTTTCGAAAGAAATTTTTTTCCGGAAATTTACGAAACCATCCGGTTAACAAAGCGTAAATAGAAAAAGTTATGCAGCAATTTACAAAAATCATGTTTCAAAAAAATTAGTAACTATGCGTGAGAATTAAAAAAATTAGTAACTATGCGTGAGAATAGTAAGTGTGCAGTTATTTATAAACAACTTTTATATTGAAACATTACATGTCCTTTTTTTTTTTGATTTAACATCTGATTGTTCATTTAAAAAATTGTTCTTCAAGTTGTTTTGTTGGTAAATGTGGGTTAGCATTTGTTCAAGTCAGTAAAATTTTTGTAACGTTTCGCTTCACTTGCTTAAGAAAATTCCGCCACATTCTTAAAACAAATGCCCCTCGATTTATTTTATGTAAAAAAACATAAAAATGATACAGATATGTTTATTTTCTGTTTTAAAAAATGTTTTTTTTCTGCAATGACATAACAATAATATCATAGGTAGGTACTACTGGTGCCTACTATGTATAAACGAGTATGCTTAAGTTAGATTTGGAGATACATAGCTTATATTATCAGTGATGTTGCACCAGAAATATTACAATTAATTTTTTTCGTTTCTGGAGCACTTTTTTCAGATATATAATGTAAGATTCAGAGTCTAAACATATTTTATTTTTTGGTCCAACATTAAATTTTTTTTTTTTCATTCTAATATTATAGGTCCGAGATCTGCTCTATTGTAAACTTTTAATACGCCACTGCCTAGGTGTTAGCCTAACAAACTCGGTTATTTTTTTTATCTCTGCAATGCGTTTTTTAAAAATAAATCGAATAAATGTTTGGCACAGTGAATTTCACTAAGAAGTTCAATTATTTTTTGACATTTATACAACTTACAGTTGTATTAGTTTGCGAGCAGCAAAAATAAGATGGTTTCTCTGCTGTGTTTGCTTTACATAAAATAACCAATAGCAAAAAATGTGCCACTTTTGAGGCGTTTCAAAAGAAAAAGCAACATTTTTGTGATAAAGTCCTCATAATATGCTAGCTGTTGAAAAAGAGAAATCAGCGGTCCAGGAATACAAAAAAGAAAAAACCCTATTTTTTTTTATTGTTCTATAAATGTTACTTAAAAATATTTTTTATTTCATGATATATAAAATATTCATCTATAAATATAACATCGAACTTGACTTTAATCATTAATATATTAAGATAAAGTATCATAAGATATCAAGATAAGACTTGCATAAGAGTATTTACGCTTTATCGTTGAGATAAACGAACGAAGTATGATAGACTTAAGATAACTTTAGTATCTTATTCAAGTTTGATTGTACTCAAGTATTGTTGTAAGAACCAAACAACATTGGTTTCATAATGTTTTGCAGCAACAGGATTTCGAATCCCGTGACGTTCATTTGGATACACCTGAAAACAAGTTTATCTATAAATATATAAACAAATTTGTCAATAAAAAAAATATAGGTAAGGCCAATGATTACTGCACATTGTAATATTTAGTATATAAGAGTAACTGTTTGTTAAGGTAAGTATATAAATAGTATAACTAGTATATAAGAATAATTATTTGTTAAGATAATTAACGAAAGAAATTTTTTAGAATATTATTTTTCGAGACAGCAAAAAAACACGGCAACAAAAAAGCTCTGTTTTTCGTATACGGGTTCAACGGTAAGAATAAAAAAACTTAAACTCAATGATATATTAAGAATAACTAGATGTCTAAAAGTGAGTTTCCACTCATCCGTTTTTTCATGGGAACGGGATAGGAAAGGGAAAAATAATCACGTGAGCATGCGTAGTTTTCCTTCGGGCATATTAAAACTTATACTATGCATGCCCACGTGATTATTTTTCCCGTTCCCGTGAAAAAAAGGATGAGTGGAAACTCGCCTTAACTGCCGTAAATCGGTATAAGAAAAAGTAAAGCAAAAATCGGCCATTATGAATAGAAATATAATAGAAATATGCTGTACACTCAATTTCTTGAGTGTTGAGTCCAAACTACGCAGAGTTCGAGACTGTAGCAGCTGTAACAAAACAAAATAGCTTTAAAAAATAATCGCTATTATTTAAAATGTTTGTCTATTTTGTTTTTAAATTGATTGATGGTACTTGCATCTATTGCATTTTGATCGAGATTGTTCCAATTATTTACCACTCTATTTGTAAAGAAGTTAAATCTTTTCATGTTGCTTGTTAATTGCCTTCTTAATTTCAAATTGTGAACCTTTGTTTTTCTTTCATTATGAATAATTTCTGGTGGACGGTGAAAATTAATTATGTCATATCCTTTAAAATATTTGAACATTTGAATTAAATCACCTCTTTTTCTATTTTCGAGCGATAATAGATCTAGTTTTTTAAGTCTCTCTTCATAGCTATACCCTCGTAAACTTTCGATTCTAGTTGCTCTTTGTTGGACTTTCTCTAATTTATCCTTATCATACAGCTAGTACGGGTTCCAAATTATGGCTGCATATTCTAAGTGAGGTCTAGCTAATAAGACAAATAACATCTTCATCATAATCTCATTCATATAACGGAAAACATGTTTGATTTGACCGAGTTTTTAATTCGCTTTGTTCACTGCACAGTTTACATGATTATTCCATTCAAAATCGTCTGAAATTAGAATTCCTAAATCGTTTTCCAAACTTGTAACGACTAATTTTTCGCCCTCGATCATAAATTCGAATTATTGTTGACTTTTACCAAATATCATTATTTTGCATTTTTGTTTATTGAATTTTAGTGACCACTCGTTTGACCATTCTACTAATGAATTAATATCTTGTTGTAGTTCAATTGAATCTTTCACATCTTTGATAGCTCGTAAGAGTTTCGTGTCATCAGCAAACATTTTACAAAGTGATTTAATTCTTTTTGTTATGTCGTTAGTAAATACAACAAATAAGAGAGGACCTAAAAGTGAACCTTGTGGTACGCCGCTTACAACTTCCTCCCAATCTGATTCAAAACTGCCTAACACCACTCTCTGCCATCTGTTTTTTAAGAAGCCTCTACACCAGTTTAATACTTTCGAATAATAATAGAGAATAACTTCTTATGGTCTACCGAGTCGAATGCTTTAGCGAAGTCCAGAAATAGGATCACTAACGGCCAACCTTCATTAACTGAGCTTGTAATATAATTGAATGTTTCCAACAAATTTGAAACACAATTTTTTTGTTTACAAAGCCACGTTGGTTCACGTTAATTAAATTGTTATTTGTTAGATGTTTCATTATCTTATCCCTAACGATCCTCTCCATTGTTTTACACACAATAGATGTCAATAAGACAGGTCTATAGTTGGATCAAGTTTGTTCCCTTTTTTAAACAATGAAATAATATTGGCGCATGACCAAATTTTAGGTATTGTTCCTGATTAAAATGATTTGTTAAATATGATTGATAATGGTTCAGACAATACATCTGAGCATTCCCTAAGCACTCTTGGGTGCACTTTATCTAGTCCTGTTGCTTTATTTGTGTCTAAGTTATTTAAGGAGCTTTCAATTATTGTTTTATTAAATTCAGGGTCTTGACAACAGCTTTAAGTTTTCACAAAGTTTGTTGGAATTTGAGAACTGTCATTTTTAGTAAAAACAGAAGAAAAAAATCCATTTAGGGTATCAGCTATTTCTTTACCATTTGTCACAATTTTACCATCTTTCAACTGAATAGCTCGAATTGTGTCTTTTACTTTAATGTTATTATTAATATACGCGTATACACGTTTAGGATTTGACTTCGAATTAACAGCAAGATCATGTTGAAATTCTTTAAATTTTTTCTTAAGATTCTTGTTTAATTCTTTATAATACTCAAGCATTTGATTGTCAATAAACTTTAATTTTCTACACTCGAACCACAGTCGCCTTTTTTCTTTAGTAAGTAGATTCATTTCATTACTCATCCAAATTGCTACATTATTTCTCTGATTGTTTGATAATTTAGTAAATGGAATGTACTTTTTACAACCTTCATGATACAGAGAGAGCCATTTTTCACATCTATATTGTGAAATTCTCTACTCCAGTTTATAATTTTAAAATATTGGCTCATTTCATAGTAATTACCTTTGCTAAAATTTATCTTTTCATATATAAACTTACTTTCGATCGTGCAATTAACAAAGCTATATTTGAATTTAATAAAATGGTGCCCATGATTAATACCTCCTAATAGTGGGAGATGAATTAATCCGAAAATACGATTTTTGCATTCAGTGAGAATTAGATCTAATACGTTAGTCATTACTCCTACGTTATTCTGAAATGTAGGTTATATTACGTTTTGGTGTAAAAAACAACCATTTAAACACTCTAGAAATATTTTAGCCTGTACATCAGACGCGTTCAATAAAATTCCAAAATACTCTTCAGACCATTTGATTGTATGGAAAATAAAATCCCCACATATTAATAACCCTGTGAACTTTTTATTTATATTCATAGAATGAGCGTATCTTATAGATTTAATTATATCATTACAATTATTCATATCGATTGCTCCCGTTCTATATACACATCCGCGTAATAATTTTTCTAAACCTAATTCAACTATGCACCAAACTTGCTCTACATTTGGGTTATTTAAACAATTCTCTGGAACCTCATAGACTTTGATTTTATCTTTTATATACATACAAACTCCGCCACCTCTACCAATGTTTCTATCCATTCTAAAAAGAGCGTATCCTTCTATATTTGTAACTGAAGAAGTCCACCATATCTCGCTTATCATATAACATCAGCTTAGCTTGAATTTATATCCTCGATTAAATCATCTAATTTATTGTTCAACGATGTTGCATTTGTGTATAAGCACGTTATTTCACTAAGTTTATCACTCGAATTGGACAGTGTTTTAACACGCTTTTCATTTCGGAAATGAGTTTTTGTATTATTGTTACTATTATTATTGTTACTGATGTTGTACTTATTAATTTTTACATTTCTTTTAATAATATTAAAAGTTTTGTTTAGTCATTTGGGGGGCAAAATCTATACCCTATTTATCAAAACAAAACAAATACGAAGTTTAAAATTGTTTAAAAATGTAATCAATAAAAAATTGCTACACAGATATCTGAAAAGTTTAATCTTACTTTGATTTAAAATTTTATAATTATGTAAAATATACATTATTTTTTTAAACATTTCAAAATCATACTTATTTCATTTTTTTTGATTTTAAAATTTAAGTTTGTATGATTTTAAAATTTAACATTCAACTAAAATCTTAGATTTAGTTTTTATTAGATTTTTAATCTTTAATCTATTAACATTTTATGCACCTGTTAGTCATTAATTACCCACTGCAGTAATGCTAGGAGGTATTATAACATAACTGCAAGGTAAACAGAGTTAAAACTTGTAATGAAACATTTTATAAAACTGTCTTGACTATTAACTAAGCTCTGTGTGACACAAATTAGAGGTTCCTTCTAGAAATGTTAGAATTTTATTTATGGCTAACCACTTCTTGTTATCATAAAAATCATTATTACTTTTTTCTATAATTGATTTACCGTCAATTAAATAAATTTAATTCGATGTTATGTTATAATCTAGTAAGGTTTTTAATACAAAAAAAGGTCCATAGGTATTCAGGTATATTAAGAATGTCTTCCCTTTAAAAAGCGGGTTTTTCAATATAAACAACAAATCAAGAAAAGTAACAGTTAATGAAACTTAATTTAATATTTTTCTTTATTATATTTTCATTTATATATATATATATATATATATATATATATATATATATATATATATATATATATATATATATATATATATATATATATATATATATATATATATATATATATATATATATATATATATATATATATATATATATATATATATATACTGAATTTTTAAATAATTTATTATCATTTTATATATTATATTATATTTATGTTATAAACCTTTGAATATAATTAATTTTTTTGATTGTTGACGTAGATCAATTATTAATTTTCTTAAAACTTTTTCTGTATATAATTGGCTATATCTTTGCAGTCTGATTGTAAAAAAGTCATCTGCTAACATTTTTATTAGTTGTGTGGAATGCATGTCTTCGGTGACAGCTTCATGGTTAGCATCGTGTTCATTTAGGTCTTTAAAAAAATGTTTTTCACTAATAACTTTATTAACTGCATAAATCATTTTCAGTTTAAGGTTTCGCTCCACATTCATTTTTGGTTTTTTGAAATTGTCACCGCTGGCATAAATTTTGAAAAGTCTCTCACATGGTATTATAGCTTGTATAAAATCATTTTTTGGAGCAATAAGCCCACCCTTATTTTTTATGTTAATCAATGAAAGAACTGATGCTCCATAAGAATGTTCCACAAAATTATTTTGAGATTTAACTGATTGTAAGAAGATTATTGTAAGAAGATCATTGATAATAATCTTCTTACAATAAATCCAGATATCCTAGTATTGCTTCTTTATAGATATAGGTATTTTCAAGATAATTTTGAGTTGTAACAATATCAATATCAAAGTTTAAAAAATCTGTTTCAGGATTTGAATAAATTTTTTACTCCATTTTAATGCAAAAATAGAGCCATTTGCAATATCCTCAAATGTTGAATAATTTGCATGCTTTGAGCCTACAGTAGAATTGCGCAAAAGAATTCTTTTTAAAGATGAATCAAGTTGGATGACATCTGGATTGTTATTAAATCCATTAATTCCACGAATACAAGAGAACAGTAACTCAAGATGATCTTGCGGAAATTTGCAGCCACAATTAACCCTAATACAAAGATTTTTCTCCTATATTTTAAAAATGGAGTACCATTAGCATCTGTCAATTTTGACAAGTAGTTTATTATTTGATCAAAAGTTTCAATAAGGATAATCATTTAAAAAAAGAGCTTTCTTATGATTTTGAAAAAAGATTTTTAGAGTTCAGCATATCAAATAATTTGTCCATGACCCTTATAAAATTTATAGTTCCTTCAGCATGCTTGAAATTTGGATGTTTGGAAAACATCAGAAATTCAATTGCATCTGCAACTGAACTACTAAGTGTTTGTGCAGCAAACTTAACATTCATTTTGTGATGCTGGAAATAAATATCTTTTATTGAGATTTTATTTGCAAATTTTAATCCTTCTTTATCTTGTATTTCATGTAAAGCTTTTGTATAACTCTATTTAATATATTTTCCATCACAATCTTTAAGTACCTCTAAATCACTTAACACATTTCTAGCTAATTTTAACATATGACTTGGGTCAGGGATTACATACAAGTAGTGATTATAGCTTTCAAAAGTAAATCGTCCATTAATTTTTTTTAGTCTTTTCCCAAATGTACATTCTAGCGATGCAACAAAATTAAAGTTAACACTTACACCATCAAATGTAAATCTATGTACATTATTTTTTTAATCAGAAGAAATTGTTAATGCTTTTTTAATACAATAAAAAAGGTTTTCAGTTGTTATTTTACTACACAACATATAGCCAATAGGTGTTTTCCAATGACCTCGTAATCCTACCAGCATAAATATCAATGCTTCTGTAGCTGGTGTATCTGGTTCAATTGCAACAATATCTTTTCCATAATCTGTAAAGCCTGTCTTTTTATTGTTTAGAACTGATGTTTTGATTACCATTGCATCTATAATTAATGCACAATCTTTATAATTAATATCAGTCTCTGCTTTTATACTAATATAACTTAAAACATCTTCAAAAAAAACCAGGTTCACTACAGAAGTCCAGATGGCTTAAGAGCTTGAAGCAGGTAAATGGAGTATAGGCCGTAGAAAATTGTATGCTTTAGGTGAGTAAAAATGCAGAGTTAGTTTAATTTTTTAATTTCATCAATATACCTATGCCCTTTTGGAAGTGAGGTATTGTTTTTAAAATGATTTTTTATAATATCAAAAGTCAATCCACTAAATCCACTAAATCACAAAGAACATTAGCAGCATCTTCAGAAACAATTTTTTTTTGCTTAGATTTTTTTAGCATAACCTATAATGATTTTTTTTTTTCTTTTCGTAGCAACTTTTGTTTAAGAATTTTAATTTTTGCTTTTAATTTTGCTTTAGTTGGACTTGCATTTGTCGATAATGTACTTTTAGAAATAATAGTATCATCATTAACAATTTTGTTACTACTTTTGATAATATTAAAGCTACTATTTATATCCTGGCAATCAATACTCTGTGTTGTATCTGAACAATATTAATATAAATTGTGTTACTATTAGCAGCAACATTATTGTTATCACTTATATTCGAATGGAAATCGATGAGATGGTGACTGCGTGTTTCTGAAACTTTTTAAATGAGTCTCTTTTTATTTGTTTGTGGCAATGTAGAACTAAACTTTCTTTTGACTTTTGCTTTCGAATCAATAGTAATAGATGGTACAGAAAAAGATTTTAATTTAGGTTTGTTATTAAAATCAGGTATATTGTAATCTGAAGGTAAAAAGTGATCACTACATACGCGGCTGTATTCAGTAGGAATATGCAGCTGTGCTCACTACATATGCGGCTGTGCTTAGTAGAAATGTTTCGCGTTTTATAGCAACAATCCACTTTTTACAGAGTTCGCTATTATTAATCGGAAATTTATGAAATGGTATATTGTCGTTTTTCATTGCTCTGTTTGTGCAACCTACTGCAGCACAAGAATTAACCATGAATTATAATTTTTGAATATTAAATATTGAATATTTTTGCTCCAAACAACTGTGATTTACTATTTTTTAAATTTGCCCCCCATAATGGCCAATTTTTGCTTCAAAAAATACGCGGAAGCTAGAGGTCTAGTTATTTTTAATATATCATTGATATAACTAGATGTCTAACTTCGATCCGAAAAATTAAGCTGTTTTTGCCCTTTTTACAAATGGCGGATTAAATTTGTAAACAAATATTTTTAACGTTTCTTATCTTAAAGAAGTAAATATATTTTAAATTTAAATACTATTTACGTAAAAGTGTTAAGTGGAAATTATAGTACTTGTAAAATAATAATTTATGATTTCTAAATTTATTTCGATTAAAAAGGGTTAAAGTTTTGAATAGAAAAGTAAAACGGCAGACGCTTTTGAAGCATTTTTATGAATTAAAATACTTTTTAACAAACATAGGCTCATAAAAAAACTTTTATAAGTATTTTATAATTATTAAAATTTGTTTTTGAATTATCTTTAATTTATTAGGAACTTTTGACTTGCATTTTTAACTTTTATTCCACACCTCGGCTTCAGATTTTGTCCTTTTTACAAATGACGGACTATTGTTATAAACAAAAAAATGCGGCTTCACTTTTTGTCCAATAAAATCCTGCAAATTAGACATCCATTTATATAATATATCATTGTTAAAACTACCAAGACTACTAAAAAAGAAACTACAAAGTCAGCAAAATTGTCAAATAAATAAACAAACAAACAAACAAAAAAGCAACGCTAAAACGGAAAGCTCTTAAACTAACAAAAAAATAACAACAAATAAAAAAACTTGAAAAAACACGGCTTTTGTGTTTCCATGATATTTTTACTGTTCCAAAGTAATTTCTTAAAATTTGCAAATGTTTGAAAATTATTGTTTGGATTTTCAAAATAACTTTGTCATTAAAATGAAAATCTTAGATAAAATAATATAAAAAAAATTACTTGTAGCTGGTAGGGTTTTCCTTCCTTAACAAGTTCAGATATGAGAGCCTTAGTATGACTAAAGTGTACATTTTCGTCCATAAGACCATGGATTATCATTAAACGGTTGGGTCTGAAAACAATTAAAAATAAATTTTCTTCTTATTATTAAAAAATTATTGCGATGCTAAGAAACAAACAACAATTAACTTACTCATTAGGAAACTGTCTAGCAAATTTGAGCACCGAACCATCTTGATATGCTTTTTTATTTTCAGCTGGAGTTTTCATATAGCGTTCAGTATAACCAGTGTCATATAATTGCCAGCACGTAACCGGAGCACCGGCTATAGCTACCTGAATTAACATTAAAAATATTTAAGGCAATTTTACAAAAAAAACAACAAAAAAACAAAAACAAAAAAACAAAAACAAATTTTTTATTTTGTTCTGACACCAAAAATTATAAATAAGAACAGTTTGTGTTTATTTTATCTATTGCTACAATAGATAAAAGAGCAAACTAGTAATAAGTTTTTTATTTTATTTTTACTATTGTGTCATAACTTTTATATTATATCTATTAATACTAGTTTATTATCACTAAAATCTATTTTATTCTATTCTTGCAAATCAGAAATAAACAAAACAACTAAAGATGTTGAGAATCTAAAATTGTATTGCATTTAGCCTCAATCTTCCCTTAAAAATCTCCTTCTCAAAATTACAAATGATTTAATTTCAACTAACAAGCCTAAAAGTATCTGGCGCATATTATTGCATTTTTAATTGAAAAATCCATAATATTTTAAATTTAATTAGAAGCTGCAGTTCCTATTCCTTTTCAGTATATCAAAATTACAGAATTCTGGTCACACTTGAACCATCAAAAATTAATGAAAGAATAACATTATTTTTTTTTACTGGAGCCAAGTCGACTTGATAGTCGAAGTGGTAATAAGAATTCATTTTAACAAAAAAATATCTAATGTACTCTTGGTCATAACTTTTTACTCAAATATACAACTATTTTAAATTTTAATAATTTTCGATATTTATATACATGTATAATATACATGTTATATAATATACATGTATAATATACATGTTACAGCTACAATATTGAAGCTTTTATGCAGCAAACTTATCAATATGCAAAGATGATTTTTTTTCTTTAATAAATAAAATCCTGCTATTTAGAAATTTTATATCAGATAAAAACATCCAAAAGTTATCATTAAAAACCTGCTTCGACATGTTTAAAAAGTTAATCATTTATATCATAAACCATGTGATAAAAGATTCTAACATTTACCAAATGTAACTTGACCCATAAGGGTCTTACGAAAAGCAATTGAGGTACTTTAAAGACATGCCCCATTTTCGAACACTTGTTCACAAGGGCACATCCATTTCTTTGAGTCTATTTTTAGCTTCAATGTTTATTTCTGAAGCATTTTCCTTGTTTATTTCTGACGCATCTTTAATTTGCTTTTTATAGTTTTACGCATTCTCACAAATAAACAATATATATTTTTTTACTTATGTACTTGTTTTGATATCAGGAATAATGCATAACAGTTGAGTATCATTTTGAGATCTAATGAGTTTGACACAACGCAAAGCGCCATTAACTTCTGTGATTAGTTTTTAAACTTTTCCAGTTATTATTGCTGACTACCACTTAGTACTTTGAATTTTGTTGTTTCAACCTTTATCGCCAGTTCTGAACTTTTTATTTGTGTCATTTTTTTATCAAAAGATTTTTTTTTCTCAATCTTCTAAAACCAATTTGATAGATGTATATTTTGCCCATAGGGCTGACATCATTTTTTTCAACTAAAATTTTGTACGAAGATACTAGTATTACTATTAGTTTGGCACCGACTTTTTTTTTGATGTTTTAGATAAGACACTTTCATACATTATGCAAAGTCCAAACTTAAATATGTTCATATCTATGCCAAAAGAGAAAGCCTTACAAAACTTTGGAATGGCAGAGACTTGGTAACAATAAAGCTCTAAAATGCTTGCCCCCTTGCCCAAACGTGAGGGCACTGATTTGGTAAAATTTTCAACTTTACTACCTTAAACTAAATTTAAATTAATTGAAAGATTTTAAATTTTGTAAAAAAATATTGAAAATTATAAAAGTTATGACCATGCAAACTTTCCAAACTCCCCAAAATGAGGGGGGTGTTATTTGGATAGTCATAACTTAATTATTTTACAAAATTTAAAATTTGTCGATAAATTTAAATTTAGTTTAAGATAGTAAAGTTGAAAATTTTCCTACATCAGTGCACTTACATTTGGGCTTTTTTGGGCTCAGGCCTCCGCCATCCCAAATTTTTGGAAGACCTCCTCATTTGGCATAGGTATGAACATACTTAAGTTTGGCATAGGTATGAACATACTTAAGTTTCGACTTTGCACAATGTGGAAAATTGTCCTACCTAAAACATCAATAAAAAAAAAAAGCTGGCACCCATGACTACAAGTATTGAAATTTTTAATATTCTTAATTGCACGGTAATTTCTTTCCACAATTCTATTTCATATAACTTTTTTCCACAATTCTATTACCTATAATAAGAGTTCAAAACTTAGTTCAAACTCCTCAGCTTCAAATTTTGAAATGTGATTCAATCCTTTGCAGTTGTAACACACTAATTTACTCAAAAATGCTTTTGCTATGTTTGTTCTGATGTTGAGCGAATAAGGTGTGTTAAACCAGATGTTTCTTTTTGGAGATTTTGTATTACATTTCTGGATATTTGGAATGAGATTGATCTTATCTTTGAATCAACAAGAACAAAGAGAACTCTTTTAAACCATATAGAAAACCAGGAGATAATCCTTTATATATTAACATCAATTCCAATCATCCACCAAGCATAATTAAATCAATACTAAAAATGATCTCTAATTGTATCAGTAATATATCTTCAAGCAAAGAAGCTTTTAATAGAGCCATACCATTTTATTATGACGCTCTCAATTCTTGTGGATTCAAAGATAAGATCAATCTCATTATAAATATCCAGAAATGTAATACAAAATCTCCACAAAGAAACATTACCTTATTCGCTCAACGTTAGAACAATCATAGTAAAAACACTTTTGAGTAAATGTTTCCCTAAAGGCCACAAATTTCATAAATTTTTTAACTGGAACAAATTAAAAGTTAGTTATAGCTGCCTTCCAAACATCAAGATTATTATTACTTCTCATAACAAAAAAATAAAATTTAAATCTCATGAAAATGCCAATTAAATATGCTATGGTCGACAAACCACCTCATGCCCATTCATTGGAAAATGCCTTACAAAAAACCTAATTTATATTTGCAACGTAAAAACTCACCAAGAAGGAGAAGGATATTATTAGATTACGCTTACTGAGAAAACTTTAAAAAATAGATGATATAAACAAAAAAACTCTTTTATTTATGAAAGTAAGGTCAACTCCATTGAACTTTCAAAATTTGTGTAAAATGTAAAAATAAAGCTTTAAAACCTATACTAAAATAGAATATTCTTGATCAAATGAAGCCATTCAAACCTGGTGGTAAATATTGCAATTTATGCTTGACAGAAAAATACCACATTGTTACATCACTATTAAATTTGCTTAACAAACAAACTGAGTTTGTGTCAAAGTGCCTCCATAAAAATAAATTTCTAATAAAGAACTTTAATGTCATCAAAGCGGACACTCCATAGCATTTTTTGTATATAATTTTTGTTGTTGTTACATCTGATGATTGCTATTGCGTCAAACTTCTAGTTTTGAAGTATATCTTGACAATTATTTAGTTTTCACTATATATACATATATATATATATATATATATATATATATATATATATATATATATATATATATATATATATATATATATATATATATATATATATATATATATATATATATATATATAAATTATGAAGTAGTGAAAATTGTAAATTGTTATATAAACCTTAAATATGTCAGGGCGCTGAGCTAATCCCATTAATGCTAAGTATCCACCTAAAAAAAAAAAGACTAGTTGTCATGAAATAACAATTTATAATCTACAATAACTACATACAAGATGTTAATTTTACCATAAGACCAGCCATGAATAACAATTCTGTTCATGTCAATTATTCCAGATTTCTCTGCAATTATTTCTAAACCTTCAATCTGCTGCTCAATTTCAATCTGACCCTAGAAAATTAACCTTTTTATAACTATTAAAAGTTTAAAACTTTTTTAAAACTATTAAGTTTAAAAAAGTAATAAATATTTAAAACCTGATAAGTAGTAATAAAAAAATATTTATTTTTATTACCTATATACCTTTACTGTAGCAACCCCCCCCTCTTAGTTTTGGGAAAGTTAAAATATAAATAAAAAATATTTAGCATTTTATAAAATTAAAAATTATTTTAGAATTAACTCTTGAAACAAATCACAAATCATTCAAATTATCAATTTAAATAACATACCATTTACAAATCAAATTTCAAATTACAATGAAATTATAAAATTGTTACTATATAATTCTATAAAACAATAAAAATTGACTCTTTAAGCAAAATAACTGAACCAAATTCAATTCATGATTCTTTTTTTTTATATCATTGAATCACATTTAATAATATTTAATATTTAATTTTAATCTAACTGATATATTTGAGTTTATTTATATATTTTATAATTTTTTCTTAGTTTTTACTTGTTATTTTGTTACATCATAATTCAAAATAATTGTTTAAAGATTTTGCACATCTGGAGTTCTGCACATCTGGATTGTGCACATCTGGATTGTGGACATCTGAAGTTCTGCACATCTAGACTTGTAGATCAATTTTTTCCATTAGTGCAAGATCTTTGAACCATCATGCTGTAATTGCTTAACGATTTGATAATTTTTTACCTAATGAGGAATGCCAGCAAGCATTATGAGTGCAAGTAAAAGACGGACATAAGTGAAGATCACAAAGTTGTTTATCTGGCAGGTTGTTAATAAAGTTGGAAAATATGATTGAACCTTGAGAAATATGGATGAGAATGCTACTAGTCATAATTAACCAATATGATGTCATCAAGGTTGTTGTCACTTGTTGTTGTTGATTAGGTAAGATTGAGAAGATTACTTTCAATTTTGTTTTTAGTTTGTAGAGAATGTGTTAATATGACACTTTATCAAATTCGTTGTTAAATGCTTTAACAAAAACCGGGGATACCATGTGAGCTGATAGTCTTATAGCCATACTAGGCAGTTAAAAAGTCCATTGCTTCAAGCTGATTTATAATGCATACTTTTTTCTACAGGGTATAATTGACAATTTTAATAAAGATTGTTTGATTTTAAATGCAGCAAGTTTCTTTCCTTGATAAAATTCACTTTTATTTTACACAGAACTGAGGCGAGAGTTATAATTGCTTTAGATTACAAGCTTGAAATTTCACTTTTGCCAAATGATATTTGGAGGATGCAAGCATACTGATGTTGTTTAAATCCAAATATTTGGATGCATCAAGGATGATGGCCAAGTATCATATATTATGCTGAAACAAATCAGACTTCACAGTTTTTTTTTCATCTTTGATTATTTTTTTGCAGTATGGTTAACTTAACATGACATTGTGATTGTTGAGCAAGATCTTGTAACATTGTTCCACATGTAAGCCTTTAACGATAGATGAATAGTTAATTCAGCCCCATATTTTCAAACAAGGAATGAGTTTTTCCCTCTTAGATTGATGTTGACTGTTTAGAATGTACTAGCACATTAAATTTTTTGCTTCAAAAAGTAAATCAAGAGTCAAATAAATCCTTTGTTAATAGCTCAGTAGTCTTGGTGGGGTGCTTCTTGTTTACGATGTTAAAAGTTGACAATCAGAACAGATCTTAGCATCGAAAATAATATTTAACTTTATAGTCCTTTAATAATCCAACTTTATAAAACTAATTTGCTTTTATAATTCTATTTTTATTAATTTTTTTATACTTTTTGTTTTTCATATCTTTTGTCAATTTTTTAAACCTATATTGATCTCATTAAAACAAACTTTTTTGTTTAAAATTTAATATAATTTAGCAAACTTATTATTATTATAAATATCTATATATTATAAATATGTATATTCTATGAACATTGAAATCATGTGTAATTCAGTCATTTTTACCTTAGAGCATGGCTACAACATCACTTGCAAATTGTGGTAACGCACAACTTTTATAAGAAAACAACAAGTTTGAAAAAATGATTGCAAATCATTTGTTCAGACTTGCTGTTTGAAAAATACAAAAAATAAATGACAACTTTTCATGATATTATTTAGAGAAACAAGTCAACAGATGCATCAATCCAGGAAAATCCTTTGGAAGACCAAGAACTATTGATCTAATAACTGACATCATGATATGCCATTTGGCTGTGATATATACAGATATGTTTCAAGTTCACAAATTTGTGCTAAACTGCCTCAAAGTATGAATGTTAGAATTAGCACAAAGACCCTTTGCCAAGGTATTTAATTTTTGGTTATACTGTACTAAACTAACTAAAAACTATTCTCAAAAAAAAGTTGTGATAGCCCTCAACTTTGCAAAAAACATAAAACAGCAATCTTTGATGGCCACCAAACTCATGCTTCAATCACTTATATATTGCACCTTCTGTTAACAATGTCCAGCAATTATATTATGCTTTGGTGTGCTATCAATGCCAATAGTTGTGCTGATATATGCCTCTTACATCAAGTTGAAACTATTAATTCCAAATATGTTTTGAAAATTTTGAAGCACAATGTGACCAATTGATTTAATTTTTAATTAGAAAGTTTAATATATTCATTCACAACAAGGCAACATGTTATCAGGCAAAAATTGTTAAGGCATGGCTCCAATAAAATACAATAAATGTTTTTGCCCCATGACTAGGCAATTCACCTAATTAAAACTTTACTAAAAACTCTTGGGTAAAACTGAAAGCAGAAGTTTTTTAACAAAACCCAACCTCACTAGTAAATCTGAGAAAAATGTAATTAAAACTGTAATAAAATAATTACAAATATTGTAAGTTCTTTGGTTTTTGCTATAAATATTTGGTGGATCTTTTTTTGAATAACTTTATAAATATATGTGTATGTGGGTATTAAAGATCCAACAAATATTCAGCAACTATTTTGTGTTCTAGTATTTGGTGTATTTTATATTTGGAAATATTTTATACTATTCGGTATTTTTCCGAATATTGCAAACTATTTGGCCAAATCCCGAAAGATTCTATTAATCACAAAATTTTTTTATTTAAAACAAGTTTAATACTTGAAATCTATCAGTGTTAAATTATGATAAATAAAAATAACTTTTTTGCTATTGTGGATAGCAAACGATTCTGCTTTTCCTCAAAAATTATACCTGCTTCCAAAAATAGCTCACTATACGCATTACTACATGGAGATAATAAATGAATCTTAGCAAATTCTGCTAGGCTTAGATATTTTTTTGCCTTAACTGAACATCACTTTTGAAGGGTCTGCATTCTAATCTAGACAATCAGTTTTCATGAATAAATCTATTTTGATTGCCGTCGAACTTTTTCGTATGAAATCTTCATCTGTGTACATGTTTTCTGGAACAATTTCCTAAAAATGATTTCAGAAATCATTGTGTATCTTAAATTTTTATCATTTTCATTGACATTTTTTTTTTTTCAAAGTGAGATAAGTCATCATTGTTGCTACTAAATGCTTTAAAAATTTTTATAAGAGCTTCTAAATAAATTTTTTGTTTTGCTCTTTTTGTTTTTACTATACCCAAGAAATTAGTTTTATAGCGCGGGTCAAGAAAAGTTGCAACCAGAGATTTGTCATTTTCATTCAAGTTGAACCGCACTTCAGGTTCAGATTGAAGCAAAGATCTAATTGTTGATAAATTCAATGTTCTCTGTGCTATTTTTTTCTTTCCCAGGTATTTTAACAACGTGATAACATGTGGAATTTACCTCAGAAATGCAAGAAATACCCAAACTGGTTATTTTTGTAACTTCTTTGAATGATTGAAAAGTTTGATATGTTGATACATTAACTCCCATTAGGTGTTATATACAACAAGAAAGCTCCCTTTTGCTCTAATAATCACTCCAATAAATAGTATGTTGAATTTCAGCGTGTCTTGTATTAATTGGTGGTCTGGCAGTTTGAGTTCTTGAAGAATGCATTTTAGTTTTTCTTGTGCTATACTAGAGTGGTTAAAATGGGTGACAATTTGTCTTGCAGCAGCTACAATCTGTATTTCTATTTGAGATTTTTGCAATACATAGACAGCCAGTTGTAGTAAATGAATAAAACACATGGCAGAATCATATTCTGCATCTTGTACACCTTTTACTTATTGACTCCACTGTCATGAACAAAAAATGGATCTTACTATGTGAAATGTTCCATCTTTCTGCAATCGTATTAATTTCTTTTGTAATATTGGTACCAGTTTGTGAACCAGAAATTGGCTTAATTGCTAAAACAGCATGTTTAATAACAAAATCTGGAGATATTCAATGGTATTAAATATAGATTACTTTTCTCAGTTATGTATGTGCAACAAGGTATTTTGTATTGCAGTAATGCCTTTTTCATAAGCTTGTTGAAGCCGACTCGTTCAACAATTGAAAATGGTTCATTGCCTAAGGCAATTATTTCTCCAAATAATTAATGATATTTTATTGATTTCGGATCATTAATATCCTAACACTATTTCCTTTTAGCTGTCTCTTTCAGAGTTAACTAGTCGATATAAGTGAGAGAACCCTTATTTTTGCTCCCTCTTGCTGGTGGAGCTTCAGTTAACTTAGCGTACTTCTCAGAATGGTTTTTTTGAAAATGATTTTTAAGAGAATTTGTAGCTGGAAACAAAAAAGAGTACTTAAACTTAGAGTTGTTAAAGTACCTAGTGTGCAAAAAAACTAAGAATAAAAAAATTACCATAATAAATAGTTTTATTTACTTTCATTCCTTCTTCATCACACAAGATCTTGCTTTTTCATTATTCATTAATTTATTTTAATACTACAAAAATTCGGTAAAAAAATATATATATATAAAAAAAAAAACACAGTTATTAATTGTGATTTTTTGTGTAACTATGATTATGACTGTTTACCTAACAAAATAATAAAATATAATTTCTGTTTTCAATTAAATTGAATATTTAGGTAAAACAGTTTTTTTATTTTATTGTTTTAAATATAATGATTAAATTGAAATTCAATTAAATAATGATTAAATTGAAGTTCAAATTCAAGAAAGAAATTTTAAGAATGACAAAAAAACAATTTCAATAACACCAATTAATTTCCTATTCATAAAGCGGAATTCAGTGGATGTATGGCTCGTAAAATCCATTCTTAACAAAAAGTTTTGAAATTTTCTTTGTGTTACCAAATATTCAGTGGCTGAATATTTGGCTATTTGATGGAGAATATTCATGGCATCTTTAGTGTATATTTACTACTACTACAAAAACAACAACAACAAAAACTACTACTACTACTACTACTACTACTACTACTACTACTACTACTACTACTACTACAACAACAACAACAACAACAACTGCTGCTACTACTATTAAATACATATAAATATATATATACATATATATATACATATATATGTATATATATATATATATATATATATATATATATATATATATATATATATATATATATATATATATATATATACACAGACATATATTTATATATACACATACATATATATATATATACACATACACATATATATATATATATACACATACATATATATATATATACACATACATATATATATATATATATATATATATATATATATATATATATATATATATATATATATATATATATATATATATATATATATATATATATATATATATATATGTACACACACACACATATATATATATATATATATATATATATATATATATATATATATATATATATATATATGGTTCTGGGCAAGTTTTATAACATCAGTAAGGAAGGAGGCATGAACTTCCTCTCAAATGCTCTTCTGCAATGCTCTGTGATAAGACCATAAGGAGTTCTTGGCGCACCTAAAATAAATAAATTTACAAAAATTAAAAAAAATTAAAAAAAGACTAATTATGTACACAACACTGAAATTAACCTTTACCTAATAAATCTCTCTAACAAGCAAGACTTCATTTAATGCTTTTTCAACTCTGGTCCTTGCATCATTTGTATTGTAAAAATTCTTGGAGTGAATAAGTTTAAAAGCATTTAGCTTTTAATTAAAAAAAAGACAAATAAATAAAAAATACAACTACTACTAAATAATTAGTAATAATGTAACAAAAAAAAAACTTCTGATGTCACATACTACAACTAAAATTATTCCTCTGAATCTCTGAATCAAATTAATATTCACAATTATTAGCTAAACTTCAATTGAAGAGCATTTTCCAAAAGAATGTTCATCAGACAGGCACTTTTGGTATTATGTTATGAATTGTGGTAGTGGTGTAGTGATAGAGTGCTCGCTTCATAAATGAGTGGTTCCGAGTTCGATCCCCACCACGTCCCTGGTAGTACCACGCTCAACTCGTTTCTCCGCTCAGCGGCCTTGTTTGTCAAGATTCGTGTTTCGGATTTATAGAGTTGAGAGAGGGTTATACCCACAAATAAGTAGCCTCCTCGTCTGTAGTGGCCTTCTCAGCCTTGAGGAGGTGAATTGAAATTAAAAAAAATTATAACTAATACTGGTAATAATAATTTATAACATTAATACTCAAGAAATATATCTTTAAAAAAAACCCGGTCATAAACCTGGCTAGGTGTAATATTTGGGTAGGTTAAAATTATATTCTCGACTTTCCTTAGAGAGCAGAAAAGCCATCATATTTAATATATTAAATACCTAAAATTAAAAAAAATTTTTTTAATGCTTTTTTACCAACTTAGAGCAGATTTCTGATTACACTTTTTGATGAAAAAAAATAGGGATGTAAGTTATATTGTAATTTTAATTTCATGTAACCTAAAGAAAGTTTTAAATACTTTCCACTCCACGGAAAGAAATTTTTCTAAAGAAAGTGATTAGTTTTTAAAAACTTTCCAATCTCCGGAAAATGAAAGTAAATTGAATTCAATCCATTTCCTAAAATGTTGGAAACTCATTAAAATTGAATTTTTTAATGTCAAATAAATTGTGTAAATGAAAAAAAAATTATTTTTCACTTTGAAAACTATCTTGGAAGGAAAGTGAAATCCAACATCCTAACAAGCTGTTTAATAAGTAATTTTCATTCATTTTCTTACAGCAGAAATTATTTAAATACTATACCATGCGATTTTGGAGAACTGCTTCAAATCTTATTCCTCTATTGCATGATCCCATTGTATCTAACATAACAACAGCATAACCGAATACTTGTAAAGCATACAAATTCAAACGTCGAACAGAGCGTTGCGAGTTTGAAACTAACTAAAATGCAAAATATGAAAAGCAAAAAAAACTAAAAAAAAAATTTATGTTTTTGCAATGATAACTTACCTGAACACATGGCCCTCCATAAACATACAACATTGTAGGATACTTTTCGCCTTCTCTACAACTCATTGGTTTATAGAGCATGCCATAAATATCATAACCTTTATAAATAGGATTTAACTAAACAAAGTTGATCAAAAACACAGCAGTTACATTAACCTATCAGTTTAAGGTATCAATTTTTCATGAACTGATTTTTTAATTAAAATTAATCTTTTTATTTTGGCAACAAGCAGTTTATTAATCTATCATATTGAAATGCAGCCTATATTAACATAGTATACCAGGTATAGTATAACTATTTTTTTTACTTATGAGGAACTAATATGAATTGAATTTATTTTTATTACTTATGAGGAACTAATATGAATTGAACTAATATTTTTTACTAATGAGGAAGTTACACTTATGTTTTAAAATATGACTTTACTAATTATATAACTATTATGTTATAATGATATAATAATAATAATAATTAATAATTCAAACATAATATTTAAATTTTTATACCTAGACTTGTTAATATTTACAATGCCAAACAAGAGCGCAGTGATATAACATTGACCATAAAATACTGCTTAGAAAGCTCAAATACTATGGAATCAAAATCAATATGCTAAAATGGTTTCATAGTTATCAAATAGAAAGTTATTTGTTACACTTGCACTTAAGTCTCTAAAAATATGGAAGGAGTCCTATATAAGTTGAGGAATTATTTGAACAAAAGCATTTTAATCCAACTATATTACTCATTTAAACATAGTTATATTAACAATGCAAATATAGCTTAGGGAAGTAAAAGCAAAATTTTTAAAAATATTCCTTTTACTTCCCTAAATTTTAAGATTTTTTTACTTTTAAAACAAAAAATAAGTTTACACTACAGAATGATAACTGTAATGATTGTTATGCAAAACAATTCAGAATAGCAATTAGCAATTGCAAAATAAGCAATTCCCCTTTGCGAATTGCACAAAAACTATAACAAAAGAATTCCCTTGAGAGAATTCCGCACAAAGAATTCTCGCTTAAAAGCCAGTGCGCTGAATTAAATTACAGTTGAAGTTTCAATGCGAAACTATACAGAGTTTTATATTTAAACTAGTTGTGATAGTATAATATGAAAATATTGAAATAAATATTAAATAAAAACCATAGTCAAACTCTCTTTATAATAAATATAAAGACAAAACATTACAATAACTTACTCTGAGAACCCTTTTGTCAAACATAGTTCAATAAGTTCTGTACAGCTTATCGTAAACCTAATCTCTGGAAAAAATTGTTTTACCTAATTTTGATTTATCAATTAGCTTCTCAGTTTTTAAAAAGTAATTAAAATAATTCATTCCCTTCAATTAAAATATTTTGAAATACCTTGAAAAATAAGAAATTTATTCAAAAAATTTTTTATTTCTATTTCTATTTAAATCTTCTATCAAATACCAATTTTTTATTTAAACAAGTCTCCTTTATTTTTTGTTATTTTTATTTTTATTCTTATTGATATGGTGATTATATTCTTTATTATAATTTATTAAAAGCTTTTTAATAAACTATAGTAAACAATTATAATAAACTTTAAATATTTGTAAATATAAAATTTCATATTAAATAAAAAAATGTATAATATATATATACAAAATGTATGTATGTATGTATGTATGTATGTATGTATGTATGTATGTATGTATGTATGTATGTATGTATGTATGTATGTATGTATGTATGTATGTATGTATGTATGTATGTATGTATGTATGTATGTATGTATGTATGTATGTATGTATGTATATATGTATGTATGTATGTATGTATGTATGTATGTATGTAAGTATGCATGCATGTATGTATCTATGAATGTATGTATGTATGTATGTATGCATGTATGGATGTATGCATGTATGCATGTATGCATGTATGCATGTATGCATGTATGTATGCATGTATGTATGTATGTATGTATGTATGTATGTATGTATGTATGTATGTATGTATGTATGTATGTATGTATGTATGTATGTATGTATGTATGTATGTATGTATGTATGTATGTATGTATGTATGTATGTATGTATGTATGTATGTATGTATGTATGTATGTATGTATGTATGTATGTATGTATGTGTGTGTATGTATGTATATATATGTATGTGTGCAAGTTTATATATTTATATATGTATGTGTATACATATAAGCAAAAATTAAAAAAAAATTATCAGACTGGAACACATTTTGATTTGGTCAAAACAGCAATTTTCAGTATCTCCGTCTTCTTTGCATGTCAAGAACAAAATTTAAGATGATTAAAAAAAGAAAGAAAAAAATTGGAAAAGAGTATTAATTTATTAAAACTGAAGATATTTAATTTATAATAAATTTATTTGTAATAATTTATTAATTGAGTTTCGTTTTTTTTGAAAAAAAAAAATGAAACTCAATTAACAGGTGTTAAGGACTATGACGCTGATGTTAATTAAATTTTTCTAAGTTTAAATTACACACAATACTTAAAATGTTTAAAAAAAAAGTTAAAAAAAACTGATGTTAAAAAAAAAATTTCAAGTTTAAATTACACACAATACTCAAATATAGGAATGGAAGTTAATTAAACGGATCCTTTTACCAAAATAATTACTGATTAAACTTTTCCCTTAATGGCAATTATAATACTCTACTTTACTCAAGTAAAATATAAATTAAAGAATACAAAATGGCAAATCATTTTAAAAAATGAACACAACAAAATTTGTTGTGTTCATTTATAAAATGTTCAAGTAAACATTCTATAAATGAACACAACAAATTTTAGAAGACGAAAAAACAGTAATCACCAATAAGAAGTTATAAAGATAAAAATGTAAATAATATTGCTGAATATATTAAATAAAAACTAAAAAAAAAACAAATGAAAAAAAAAACAGTTTTAAACAAATGTGAATACTTTTCAAAGGATACAAAACCAGAGCATCAAATACAAAAAGGAAATCCTCAAAAATTGGCTTCAGAAACTTATAACAAAGAAAAAAGTGAAATTTTTTTTCCTGATGCTATAAATAGCCTCGAGGTATGAAAAAAATGGATTAAGTTTAATGTTATAAAAAAATTGAAACCTTTAGGTGTTTATAGTGCCCATTTTGATCAAAAACTTTAATTTCAAAATTTTAAAAAATTTCCAATTTGATCAAAATATTCTAAAGCATGTTTGAAATAACTTTTATTTAGGATCTTCATCATATACCAATTATTTATTCAGACAATGCAATGCAAAAAAACTTCATCTTTGTTCTTATCTATTCCAGGTCCATCAAGAAAATCTCCTACTAAACTACAATAATTTAAGACAAAGATTCAATCAAACACACAAATAATTAGATTTGCCTTCAAGTACTGTTGACCTAAAAGCTCTCAAATTACTTTTGGAGGAAGGTTAAGTAGATTGTAGTTTAATGTTGGATGAAATAATCTTACAGGAATGAGTATTGCATATGTTGATTTTAATGAAAATTTTAAATTTTTATCCTCATTTTTATAATTGTAAGTTTTAAAAAATTTATTCTTTACATCTTGTCTACAAATTGTAATAGACAGAGATACAATATTACCTAAAATTAAAGAAAATTTATCAGTTTTGAAATCTGCCAGATATATTGTACATTTAACAGTTGGTGACAAACATGCAGCAAATATATAGGATACGTTATTATATATGTTATAGGACTGTTAATTAAATGCTTTGGAACTGATAAAGCTGAAGGTCATTTTATTTTATATGAAGAAAGGAAAATTTACTTTATTTATGACAGTGTTTATCTCTTAAAAAATATTTGAAACTATTTCCTTAACTCAAAGCGCTTCCCTGCTTTCCATTTAAATTCCCTTCTTTTCATTTCAATAGATTTATTAGTTCTATTTCAGTTACTACTGGTGTAATATTATTTGATCATCTTCTCTGTAAAGTTTGCAAAGAAGATGAAAAACTTAGCAAGATTACTCTTAGCGAACAAACAGCAAATGCTATGGTAGAAACAACTATGTAGTGATTTACTTAATTAGGATTATGATTGTATAAATCGATTACAAAGTGACACTCTGGATTTTTGATTTTTAAAATATAGACAATAAGTGGAGATCATTTTCTTGTTGGTTTCCAAGAGTCTTCAGAGAAAATACTTCAAATATTGTTAAGTTGTTAACGAAACAAGATATAAATTACTGGGAATCCAATTTTACCATAAAGTTTGTAAACTTATAATTAAACAGTCAATTTTTAATTTTTGTGTTCACAGTTTTTAACAAGCAACACACTCAACTGCAATTGTCCGCTTGACATACCAATAAAATATTATTTATGTAAAATTGATTTTGAAATTTTTTTTCAAGAAGTTGATTTAAACAGGTGGTAACATATATTGTTAGATTTATTATGTAAAAACTCTAAAAAATTCATTTGCGTTGAAAGTGAAGCTTTATTAATCATTTGCATTAAGTAAACAAATTTGCTCTTTAGAGGGGGGTAAGTTTGTTTACTCGATGGAAAGGGGCTTCAATTACTTGGAATATATCTGGCATCATATGCATCACATGGTTTTGCTAAACAAGATTTGGCTTAAAAAACTTATTTTTAAATGCTAATAATATCAGATTATTTTTAAATACCAATAATATCAAAAAGTAATGTTAGTTTCCAGAAAATTACAAAATTGTGAAAGTAAAACAATAGTACAACATTTTTTGTTAATATTGTTATAAAGATATACTTTAACAATAAGCAAACCATTATCAATGGAAAGAAAAGTAAAGACAAAATTGTTGCTTTTAATTCTTAACAATTTTCCAAAAGTCTCTAGAACCAAATTTCTGAGATAAAATACAAAGTTTAGTAATCTGAGAATAATGGACCAAAATAGGGTCAAATAGCTTTTTGGAATTATTTAACCAGGCAGTAGCTTAATGCATTTAACAAGATAGGAACCTTTATTGAGAAATTCTCTCTAACCTTTACTCAACTAAGAGCTCTAAGGTATTATAAGGTATTAACTTCTCTTAGTCTTAGCATGGTCTCCTAATGCAGTAGGAGATGTATACCTACTAGTAGTAGGACGATCATGAAAAAGCTAACCATGACATGACCTAAACAACTTATTCAAAAGAATTTTTTTATTTTAGAGAATAACCTTTAAAAGGAAACTTTCTTCATTATTCAAACCAGTTAAAAAAACAACAACAAACAAACAAAAAAAACAATAGATATACATTAAGAATTACATGCTTCCAACAAGAAAATCACTTTGCAGAAAAAAAAAGGGTGTTAAAATAATGAATTTTCTAATTCATTAAAAAAAAATTAAATTCTTCTAATTCATTTAAAAAATTAAAACAATTGATATTAATTTTTCAATCAGTAGTATTTGATTTTATAAACATTTTACAAATTTTACAAACTTTTTGTTATGTAATCTGTTTTAAAGTTATTACAACCACTTCTTTTTTTTGATATATTTTGTTTAAGTTAAATTACAAGGTCTGATTTTTCGTTTTTTATTGTAACTTAACATAACTAATTAAAATTTAACATAACTAATTAAAATTCAGCAATTGATATTATGACTTAATATTCTATTTCAAAAATTATATTAAGAAGTTTTTTATAAACACAGATCACAATCAATGTGAATGTATAAGTAATAGTGTGTTTTTTTCTTAATAAACAATACTTTCAAGTCTAAGCAACTTAATACTTATGTTTCTTTATGTAACTAGCACAACTTATCAAACTACTTTCAGATCATTTAAAATGACTTACCAATTTTCCATAAATTGAAAACACCACTCTCCCAACTATTCTTTATGGAATTTTCGAAAACTTTATGAAAACTTGCTCAATTTTTTTCTCAAACAAATCAGTTTCTTGTCATTAAATAACTATACTTACTTAATATTAAAACACAGTAAAATCCATATTTTTTTCATTAATTGTATTCACCTTCCTAAGGCTAAGAGGTTATTACTGTTAATAAAGTGTCATGTATTTAAATTAAATGGTTTTATTAGGAAAAAAATGTTAAAATTAGCTAATTTCTGGTGTCCAAACAGAAACATGATAGCATAAATAAGTTATAGTGTTATTTATGAAACTGTTTTAGTAAATTTACAACTTATTGATGAATATTTATTTAGTTAAAAAAGGTAAAAAAAATATTTTATCAACTTGCTGCTCTCACGTTTGGGGCAGATGACTTTAAATTTTAGGGCTTTTTTTGTTCCCAGGCTTTATTCATCACAATTTTTTGAAAAACACCTTTATTTGACATAAGTTTAAACATAAAAAGTTTAGAGCTTTCTCCATGTTTGGTTAGCTAGCTCATAGAAAAAGTTAGCTATATCAAACACAGAGAAATGCAAATTTTTCAAAATAAAATTTCAACAAATTTTTTTTACTTTATTCTAAGTTCTTTAAGATCATTTATAAACTAATTTTAATAAAATTTTAATAAAAACCAATTTTAATAAAGTTGTAAGAAAAAAATAAAAAAAGTTTTCCTCGCAGAGCCAAAAATTTTAGCAAAAATTAAAATAGCTGTTCAATTTCAATAAAAATCAGCAAAGTGAAAATGTTCTACTACTTTAATGAGATAATTTATGCGTTGCATAATTTATGGATAATCCCATTGTTAAAAAAAACAACAACTCAAAAACAAGGTGGAACAGTTGCAAAGAGATATAGAGCAAAGTAGAACCATTTCTTGATTTGTCGGCTAAGGAGGAACGGCGTTCCCCTGCATTCCCCCTACTTTAACCGCTATGACCATGACCCCTGGAGTGGTATTTAAGTATGTTTAAAAATTCACAAACTTAAGCTTAAATTTGACACAGTTTTATTAAGAGCCCTACTCTATGTGAACAGCTTTTACTCTATGTGAACAGCTTCCATTTAATGTGAACAGCTCCCACTCTATGTCAAAAGTTCCCACTTTATGTGAACAAAATCAAAAAAACTTTACCTGAAGTTACATTATTGAAATGCTTGATTGAAAATTAAACAACTGATTCTTAAATTCTGTTTTCACAGTTTTAACAACCTGCAGCTGTAATGGTCCACTTGATTTTACAAAAATAAATGAAAATAAAAAATTTGTACAAGGCAGTGTTAAAAAACACAAGAGCGCTTCATTACAGTTACTTTATTGAATATTAAATTATTAAAATTCAGTATTCAATGCGTTTACTGATAATATACCTTACGTTTTGTGTTTTTACTGTAAACTTATTAGAAGTAATAGCTAAGAAATATTAAAAGGTTTAAAAATTAAATACATTGTCATTACTAATTGTAAAAAAAAACAAAAAATTAAAGGTACTTGAAAATAATTATTTTAGAAACCTTGAGAGTTCTTGTACCTAAATAATTCAGGAATCCTGGAGCTAGGAAGAACATCTAAAAAGTAAAATTATAAAAGAGTAAATAATAAAATAAAAACTTACTTCTTTTCATTTATTTGTAAAATAATAAATGCATTGCTAATTTGTGCAAAAGTGAAAACATTACATTTTGGAGATTGCACCCAACCTATACTTTGCAAAAATATCTTCTTTTTTTCTACTAAAGTGTTGTTTATTTTACACAGGTTTACTTGAGAAAATGAAGACACAGAAGAAGATACTATGACTGCATATGAACAATCCTTAAAAAAAAATCAGAAATGTTTTAATGAAAAACATCAAGTACTTGTTTGCATGAATATATATACTTTTTAATTTTATTTATCTCCCAAAGGTGAAGGGGACCAATATAATCAAGGAGCCTACTTGTTTCTTTTTTTTAATAAATATATGCAGATATAGTTATGCATGAGATGTCAATGATGTCATCATGAAATTGTTGAATTTGTAGGGGCTTCAGTAGATAAATTGAATGAAGATTGGTACTAGATACAATCTATGTAGAGACATTACAGCTAAAAATTAAGTAGTTTTTATTCATTTACAAATTTTTTACAGTAATTTTATTACTATAAAGATTAATAAACTTTTTTTTGATAAATTTTTTAAAAAATTTTCATAATTGTTAATTTGTTATATCAGCTATAACAAAAATTTTTTCATTTGGAATTGTCTTTCGCCGCAGTTCAAACGTTTTTTTAAATTTTGCTATTTTCTTTTTCTTTTTCCTTTTTAGTTTTTTATGTATAACTATTATTATTCCTATGCATTTTACAAAGATTTTTAATTTTTTTTTTCCATTCAAATGAGTTCAAGTAAATAACGAAATAAGTAAAAACAAAAATAAAATCTAAGAAATTTGGAAAATAAAAAGGGCTTGATTTTGAGATGTTTTTATTTGACTTTGTCGAGTCAGATTATCAATCAAAATAAGAGTAATATGAAATATGAATATGAAACAGAAGTTGATGAAAATAAAAAAAGCAAAGGTACTTAAACTGTTTTAAAAAAGAAAGAAAAGAAGGCAATTTGTAAAAACCATTTTAAAAAATAAGCAATTTTCAAAAAGAAAGCAAAAAAACAACAACAGCATAACAAACTAATATTGTTTAATCTGCAGCTAGAAAGAAATTTAAAAGGGACAAAAAAAGTTTTTACATCTGGTATGGCAATTAAGCAGGGTGTAATAATAAATGAAATTACCGTAAAATTTATGATTTTGTTTGACAGCAAATGCTGTCAAACCACTTGTTAAATTCAAATTTAAAAAATGATAAACAAAAAATTTTTTAATTTAAAACAAAAACTTTTCAAAAAATTAAAAAATAGTAGTATGCCAGAATTAGCACAATACACTTTTTATGTAACTTTGAATTCATTAAATTTGTCAATTACAACAATGACAGGAAAGTTTTTCTTCAGCTTAACTTTAGACGTAATTAATTAGTTATGTTAAGTTACAATAAAAAATGAAAAATCAGACCTTGCAATTCAACTTAAACAAAATATATCAAAAAAAAGAAGTGGTTTTAATCACTTTAAAACAGATTACATAACAAAAAGAAATTTGTAAAATGTTTATAAAATCAAATACTACTGATTGAAGCTGGAAAAATATTTTTAAATAGTGTAAATGTAAAAAACTGACTAATCATTCAGTTACTGGATATTATTGAAATAAAAATGTGTAATATTGTGAGCAATAATAAATATTTAAACAAAGCTGTTTAATAACTATCACATTATTTTTATCCATTGTGTTGACAGTCACATTAAAAAGAATCTTGCTATTGCCAAGATTTAAGAAGCTCAAACTAACGACCAATAGCTGTTACAACCTTTTTGTTGCTCAAACTAATGACCAATAGCTGTTACAACCTTTTTGTTGTTGAATTTGTTGAATTGTTAATGTTGTTCTGAATTGTAATAGCTGTAGAAATTTTTGTTCAGAAAAAGCTTTGAAGCCTATTTTTGGTTCAATATATTCTATTCCTGATCCTCCTACCATCCCTCCTTTAGACACCACCACCCTTCCTTTAGACAAAACTTGACAAATGTTTTGGTTGCCTTTGTTTGGTTTGCAACAAACTTGATGGTAAAAAAGTTTCTTGTTGTACAAATCGCTTGTGAATTTGTTTAAATTTAGTGATAGAACTATTTTCAGACATTCTTTTCTAAACAATTGAATTCTTTTAACTTAATATTACTTAAATTGTTAATTAAATTAATTACTAATGTTTAAGCTTTGTAGTTTTATTAACTAATTGACTATTTCAAAGTCAACCTGGTACATTATTCAAGAAAAAGAATTTAGATCTGATCATCAGCATCAAGTACAACTCCAAAAAATTTAACACATACCTAATTATTATAGAAAAGTTTTGCTTTAAATATGATATTTAAGGCTTTAAAATGTTGTCAGTGATAAGTATAAAAACTTATTTAAATTGATAGCTTTCAAACGAGAATTTTTTCGAAAACTCTTTCTTTAACTCTTTGAGAATTTTTTCGAAAGCTCTTTCTTTAACTCTTTGAGAATTTTTTCAAAAGATTTTAAATAAGAAACTTGCTGGCTAAATAGAATGTTAATTAAAATAATATTTATTGCATTATTCTATTTAAAAAAAAAATTAAATAAGCAACAAAGGCATTCAAAGGGCAAAGTGAAATTTGTTCACTGCACAAGGGTGGCAAACAAATATAATTGCCACATTTAAATATTATACTAAGTATTTAAATAAAAAAAATTATTTAAATACAAAAATTAACATTTTATTTTTTAAATTTACAAATACAAAATTTACATAAATTTTGTATTTGTAAATTAAAAAAAAAATATTTTTTGTATTAATAAATATTGTTTTTGTAAATTAAACTATTGTATTTGTATATGAAATAGAAAAATATTATAAAAATTTGCGTATAATTAACTCTTCTTTTATGTTTTACGGAAATATAACATAAATGATACCTTTTATTTTATGTTTTAAGTTTTATTTTATGATTTTTTTTTCTTGTTTTTATTTTTGGTGTACTTTAATAGCAAACTTAGTTTACTGAAAGTATTTTTAACACGGCAATTTAATCTAACTTCCATTCTAAATATAAGACACCGTGCCTAATGTTTAGAATGGAAAAAAATCATAATTTTGTTATTTGTTAATGAAAAAACTTGGGTTTAACACTTTTTTAAGCAAGAATTTTGGCTTTGAGGTCAAACTTACACACTGACTCATATGCTACTAGGCAGCTAGTAAATTTGCGGTCAACTTGCACTATTTTAACATATGGTAAGTCTAGCATATGGTTTTTTTGGGTTAGAATTTCATATTTGATGTAAAAGTAACATGACTACTTTGGCTTCTATGTTGCTAGTCAGTTTGTGTTTTATATTTATATGACTTTATAGGTAGGTGTATCATAAATGCAAAATAAATTTGCAGTGGTCTAGTTCGTCCAGGTTCATGTTTTGGAGTTAAAGTGTTGGAAGAAGGTTGTAACCACAATTAAAAATTAAAAAGTAGCCTCCTCAATTGAAGTGGCTACCTCAGCCTTGGGAGGTGAATGACAAATGAATTTTTTTCAAGCTTTCTTCTGACTATTCAGAACAGTTGAACCAACTGTAATCACACACAGTTTTCAAATATGTGCACAAGATGTTTGTTGCAGGACTCAATAGCTTAAGCACAAATGCTTTCTTAAACAATATCTTGATTGTCATATTTTGACAATCAAGATATTGTTCTGCATCATGTAGCAATCATATATTGCATCCAATTCATGTATTGCATGCTAAATCATGGAAGTTGATCTAAAACATTGTAGTTGGCTAATTGTAAGAGTACATAAGTTAGAATGTATATTAAAAACAATACTATTTGGTTAGAAATATAATGATTCAGAAAAATTGAGCAAATTTGGATAAAATAAAAAGATGGGAATGAGACATTCCCATCTTTTTATTTTCCCAAGGCAAAAAAAAGGTAAATTGCAATGTTTAACAAAATGAAATTTTTGCCAGTTGGTCAAAAGATTGTTAGTTAGCAGAATTAGTTAAATTAAAAAAAATAAAAGTAATATTTCCTCTACGGTCCGAATTAAAAATCTAAGCATCTAGCTTAACTAATTTTTTCCTGGTTTTTCAAAGATGTGACAAAAAATGTTACAAAAATCTAATGGTCTCTAAAAAAACTTTCTTTAAGTTATATTTTCTTTCTGTTTTTGTTTACCTTTGAATTGGCTTATGTTAACAGTTGTTAACAACTCAATTAGCAAAAAAATTGTCCTGTTCTTGGCAGTTTTTTGCAATTTGCCCTGTTAGTTGACTACAAAGTCAATTTATTAAAATATTCTATTTTCTTTGTAATTTTGTACTGTGAATCAGGTCACCCCTTTATCATGGCTCTTCAAGAGTGATAAGATTGAGTATGGCTAGTATAACCTCATATTTTTTATGGGTGACTTGCTTATTGTTTTCGTTGCTCACTGTTAAATGTGTTCAAGTGTTTTTATGTTACTTTTTAGGCAAGGAAGCCAGACTTTGATAGCATACTTGAGATGAGGCCTAATGTATGTTGTTTAGAGTACCTTCCATAGCATTATTCCTCAAGAGTGATGATTTTTTTAGTCTGTCAAGTACTGGATTTGATCTAGCTGCTGCAGCTTCTACTTGAAGCTTAACCTTAAGGTTACACTCAAACTTAACCTTTAGGTTGTTTGATGTTAGGACACCTGAGCAATTCCATATGAAAGCATCCAATATTTGTATAAAATGCAGCCCTAAATTTCAAATTTTGCTGATTTTTACACCACTCAAAGATTTTAATAAGTTATGAACATTCCCTAAATTTTATTATTTAATCCCAAACAGTTTCAAAGATATAATTGTTCAAACATTGTCTTGAACCAATAAAAAACCCACCATTTTAAAAAATGGTTTTAGTCATTGTTTCTGTTTTGTGTGCAATGGAAACCTAAAAATATGTGCACTTCCATAATTTGAGGCAAGGAATCCAATAAAACAACTTAAAATATTTAAAAATAAACATGACATTTATAATTTTGACCTTTATCGCAATTTTGCTGAAGCAAGTTTAATTAAAAAAATGCTATACATGAAAAATTCTTTGAAGGTTAAATATTTTGTACACGCACATGCAATACCGACAAATTTTACTATTGGAGCTGGAGTCGCAATTTTGTTTAGCGATCCACTAAAATTGTCACAACTCTGACTCTACAG